GTACTAGGAGAGAGCAATCGCCAACATTAGCAGCACCGAGCTCTCTTGTCTTTGAGTCTAAATAAAGAAGCAAAGCAGTGCTGGCGCCGTATGCTGTTGTTTTTTTATATGCTTCAGTTAGTATATATCTAGCAGCATCAGCAGCACCACCATAAGGTATTTTATATCTGCTGCTGCTGCTCTTGCTGCTGTTGCTGCTGCTGCTGCTGCTCTTGCTGCTGATGCTGCTGTTGCTGCTGGCGTCAGATTCATAAGAAACTGCTGCTGCTGCTGCTGATGCGGTGTTTGTAGGGGATAAACTGCTGCTGCTGCTGCTGCTGCTGCTGCTACTGCTGCTGCTGCTGCTGCTGCTGTTTTTCTTCCTTCTTCTTCTGTATGATCGCCTTTCTGTTGCTGCAGTTGCTGTTGCTGCTGCAGTTGCTGCTGCTGCTGCTGCTGCTGCAGTTGTTTCTGCTGCTGCTGCTATCTCTACAATCGGATGTCTTTCTCTTTTTTCTATGGCTGCTCTTTTTGTATTGTTTATTACTTTCCTTCTCCTTATTTTTTGCTGCTGCTGCTGCTGCTGCTGCTGCTGCAGCAGCTCCCCCACCCCCTCCTGCTGCTGCTGCTGCTGCAGCAGCAGCAGCTGCTGCTGCTGCTGCTGTTCTTGTATTCTTTTTTGTTTTATTTTTTTAGCTAGAGAGATAGAAACACGAGCACTGTGCTGCATCAGCTCAGCAGCAAAGCGGCAAGAGGAGACCCCAAAGGCCCCCCAGCTGCCGACCCCATCAGCAATACCACAAAAACTAGATAAACATAAAGGAGCAGCAGGATATATTTCTCTACTCCTCCTGCTGCTGCTGCTGCTGCTGCTGCTGCTGCTGCTGCTGCTGCTGCTGCTGCTGGGGATGCTGCTGGGGATGCTGGGGATGCTGCTGGGGATGGGGGCGGGGGGCAGGGGGGCAGCGGTGGGAGATATACACGTGTATACGGGAGAAACAGAAACATGCTGCTGCTGCTGCTGCTGCTGCTGCTGCTGCTGCTGCTGTTGCTGTTGCTGCTGCTGCTGCTGCTGCTGCTGTTGCTGCTGTTGAGCATGGTGCTGTTCGAATTTTCTCATGAAGGCTTCAGCCAACGTATGCTGCTGCTGTTGCTGCTGCTGCTGTTGCTGCTGCTGCTGCTGCTGCTGCTGCTGCTGCTGCTGCTGCT